GTCTGCCATCATTGAGTTGAAAAGACGCACTGGTGAGGGGGAAACAAATCTTCGTATCGTAAATTTTCGGGTGGTTTCCAACAATCCGCGAATCAGGATAAACAGGCTGCTCACACTTCAAGCACGCCCGGTGGCTCCTGCTGCGGCCTGCGAGTAGCCTTCACAAACGTTTGCAGTATTATGAATAAGCGCGATGAGCTTTGTTGTTTCGTTGCGTCTGAGCGGCCAGACGTAGTGGGACTCGCAGAGACATGGCTGCATGCAGAGTTATACACCCAAGAACTTGAACTCAACGGTTACTCGTGTTTCCGATGCGATAGACTAAAGAATGCCCACGGTGGTGTCTTACTTTACATCCGGTCTTCCCTGCGTGGGAGACTTGTGAGCACCTACCGAAGTGACGATGGCCTGTGTGAGCTACTGTGGTGCTCCATCCGCCTCAGGCGCGGAGAACTGCTTGTGGGCGCAGTTTATCGCAGTCCCCTGAGTCGTTGTTTGGATTGGCTGCCCCATCTTCGGACCCACATGAGTCGTCCACACTTTCTGCTTATGGGCGATTTTAACTGTCCTCGAATACGATGGCCTGATGTGCATTTGATGCCTGGACATAGTGAGGTTGAAGCAAAGTTCGTGGATTTGGTACTTGAAACTGGTGCATCGCAACACATATGCCAGCCAACACGCATATCAACACGTTCAACCTCGTCCTGTCTCGACCTGATGTTAACGAGCTACGAACAACGAGTGCGTGACGTTATGATCCTGGAGCCCCTGGCTACGAGCGACCACTCAGTACTGATAGCTGATATGGAATTATCTTTGCCGTATTCACATCCGCTGCAACCAGCTCCCAACTACTGGAAAACGGACTTCGATGGTCTTGCTCGAGCCGCGAGCCAACTGGATTGGTCTCTGTCACAAACTGCATCTGTGGAAGATTGTTGGATATTTATAAAAGAGAGATTAACATCATTGTGTTCCAAATTTGTGCCATTGAAATGTCGAAAGGTTGGACCGATTAAGCCTCATTGGTTTGATAAGGAGTATGGAAACCTGGCTCGGAGGCGGCGCAGACTGTGGGACAAATTCCTTCTCTCTGGCTCTGCCAATGATTACGAAGGGTATAAATGTCAGCGGAATCTCTGCAACAGTGCAAAAAAGAATAAACGCCGACACTTTGAAGAGCAGCTCGCATTAGCCGCGAAGACCGCCCCCAAGAGAATCTTTGCATACGTGAAGCGACGCCTGAAGCCTGCGGGTGATGTGCCAGTGCTGGATGGCACGGATGGACAGCCCCTAACTTCCAGCTCTGAGCGTGCGTCCGCGTTGGCGGCGCACTTCGCTTCTGTATTTGCGAATAACCAGGTGTCTGTTCCGAGTTCGACGTGTACCGCTTTTACCGAACTCGATAGTCTGCATTGTGGCGTCGAAGAGGTAGCTCAACTACTCGCCAACCTTGACGGCACCAAACCTGCCGGACCTGATGGACTTCACCCACTGGTTCTCAAGTCACTTTCAACCATCCTCTCTCCTATCGTGACTGACCTTTTCAACAAGTCGCTCTCCGAAGGTTTGTTGCCGGTTGACTGGAAATGTGCGGTGGTGAAGCCTATTCCGAAAGGCGGCGACCCTAGCAAAGTAGACAATTACAGGCCAATTTGTCTGACACCTATTTTGGCAAAGGTTGCTGAGAAAATCGTGAAGAAGAGATTGCTGCAGTTGCTACAGTCAAACGAGGTCCTGACGCCCGCACAGCACGGTTTTATGCAAGGTCGCTCATGCATTACTAACCTGCTTGTGACGAGGCATGAGTGGTTGAAGGCAATAAACAAGGGGAAGTCCGTCGACGTGATATTCATCGATTTCAGTAAAGCGTTCGACAAGGTCAGTCATGAGGTTCTCCTTCACAAACTCAGCATGTGTGGCGTCGGTGGCTCACTGCACCGGTGGATCCGCGACTTTCTTGTTGGACGAAAGTGGAGGGTACAGGTCGACGACCATCTAACTGACTGGTACCCCTCTACAAGTGGCGTGCCTCAAGGCACTGTGCTGGGGCCCACTCTGTTCCTGATCCACATCAACGATCTACCGCAGCTTCTTCGGTCGCCGTGTGCCTTGTTTGCGGACGACATGAAGATTTGGAGAGAAATCGACGCTCCCGACGACTGTGGCCTACTTCAGCAAGATCTCAACCGCTTATCCACATGGTCTGCAGAAGTTCTTCTCCCGGTCAACCCAGCCAAGTCGGTATTTATGAGCCTGGGGAAGGGTGCAGACGGCCGAACCTACACCCTTGACGGCCAAACGCTATATCCCACACCCTCCGTGAAGGACCTAGGTGTACTCTCACGCTACGATTTGAAGTCCGTTGACAACACGAACAGGCTATATCGGAACGGACTGCGCATGCTTTGGGCGCTCAAACGTAGCTTCGGCACATGGTCTGAAGAGGTTGCCACTCGCCTGTTCTCTTCTATCATTAGACCAATGCTAGAGTACGGTTCGCCCGCCTACTTTCCGATTACCCGAGGCGAGGCACAAAAGATCGAACGGGTCCAACACGTTGCTACCAGGCTCATCCCGAGTTTACGTGGCTTTGGGTATGAAAACCGGTGCGAGAAACTAGGACTCTACACCTTGTCCTACCGTCGGGTGCGAGTCGACCTCATTATGACCTACCGAATTCTACATCTCGGTGAGTTCCCCATGTTAAGGCCAATGCTGCACTTACGAGGGCCATGCAGCACACGCGGACACAGATACAAACTTGTTGTGCCGGATATGAAACGTGTTCCCCACCCACTGTGCTTCGAACGGAGAGTGGTAAACATTTGGAATAGTTTGCCAGAACATGTGATTGAGGCAACATCTGTGCAACAGTTCAAAACGTTGTTAGATTTGCATTTTGCCTCTATTCGATTCAGAGAACGACTGCACACTTACGATGACATCACATTTGTGAATCCTGAAATATCGTAAGTCGAATATTTTAAATATTACATGAGAACGACAATGATATTCAAGGTTGACAACTTTTATAACGTTTTTCGCCATATCTCGAAAGAGTTGTACAGAATCCATTTCTACTTGCTCTATAATACAGTATTCAGTATTCAGTATCGTACTTTTTGCTGTTTCTTATTCCTTCTTTTCTTTTTTGGGGAACTCCACTGTATTGCATTGCGGCACAATAGCTGACGCGTTTCTTGTCCACATCTACTATTGTATAGAATGATGATAATGAATTAATGAGGATGGAGCACATGAAGGTTGCTTGCGTATAATAAATTCTGTGGCTGACTCCTTATCTTCTCTGGAGAGAGGATAATCGTTTGATTGGTCACCCAAATCATTACAAGATGAACATTACAAGATGGACATCGTGACCAACTAGAATGAGTCTGCTACACATCACTTACAACAAACAAATGTGCCGCACCTATGCATGAACCTAGGTCACTGCTGCATTACCTCGGTAAATATACTAGGTCAATGCGCAACATAAATCCATGACGAAAAGAGCACTTGGGTGGGACACGCGTATGTCTGTGTTGTCCGATAAAGCGACTCAGTCTGGGTACGGGCCCCTGTTTGACAAAGGGACAAACGAAACGCGTATGAACTGAGCAATCAGGCACCGGCTCCCAATGGGCGCGATTCCCTGAATTCGCTCCGCTGCCTTGCGGGCAGGCTATTCAGCCAAAGGCTCGGGGTGGTGTCCCCTAACTCAACACCCTACTTCGGCTTGGGCAACCGGGTAGTATCTCGCCGTCTGACAAAACCATGGGCTTTGATGTGTTTTGTTGTGTTTTCTTTTACCATTTCTGTACCTTCTTTTGACTCCCATGGTTGCTAATGGCTCCATGTCTATTCGTAGACTGTTGCAAATATATATACGGGCACATTAACTTTGTTATTGATCAATCCAGAAACACGCGTTCAATCAGTCGCAGGCTATAAACTGCGAATGTGCATGGCGTGAATGAGTGGTGTCAGTGGGCACACATAACAATTACCATGGGAAACACTTTGTACTGACCCACCACCAGATCGCAGGGGTGCTACCGGTATCATCACAAGTTTGGCAGCTGCACAGTGCTGAACATAACATGAAGCATCGCTGAATGACTAGGACCGATACCACTGTGATATTAATAAGCAATCACACGGCTCGATCCATATGATCAGTAAGCTCTTATAAGGCTGTTAGCGGAAAATCTCCCCAACTAATTTTGCTTTTTTCACACTTGTGAAAGCACATTGGTAAGCAGTGATTCAGATCCTAGCCATGGTAACTTGCAGCTGGATCGAAAACGCCGAGTCGGTATGGATGTTTAAAACTAATGCGGTTTTTTTCAGTGAATCGGTCTCCTGAGCCGCGTACTGTTTCACACTGACACCGCTATCGATACAGCTAAGTCAGTTATGTCGTGCGAAACAGGAGATTAGAGTCTCTACTTAAGAGCCGTGAGTCTATGACCTCTAAAGCCGTGTGTATTAATGTAAATTAAAACTTGTCAATGTTCACTGTGATACAAGATTGACCTGAACCTTGCCAACGATTCTCACAGCAGATGTAGGAGTGTTAAGAACCTAAACGGTTAAATCACGGAAATGGTAACGAACTTCTTACTTTGGCAGCTATTTTATTTGCTGAAGTTATCTAGGTTCATATTGGTTCGTAATTCCAGTATCGCAATTGATGCCGGACGCCAAAGCGCCGGCAAAACGATCAATGGGCCGGTGAAAACAGGCTACTTTTCACTTTATAGTCTGACCTATAGAGCCCACCACTGTAGGACAATTACCTTTTACTGTACTTCAGTACGTCAACAAGCGGCCGGCGATTGCCAGCCGGTGCGGACCTGACTTGCGTATAAAAAACCCAAAGTGCAATCATCAAATGTTCGCCGAGCTGAGTCATCTTTTTGATGAGTTGCATTATGGCAATATTAAAATGATGTCGCTTACACACACACCATTATGTTATCTGTTGTAAGGGAATCTCGGACTATCAGGACAGTTTCCGTGCTTGGGCGATCGGCCCCCGACAAAAAGGATTCGGTCCAGGAGCCGGCTTCTACCAGTCTAACGCTCCGTTCGATGGCCGCAGCACCAACAAACAATACTACGTGGCCCATGCGGGATGTAGACCAGCGGAGTCATGCAAGCCTCATCCATCTGTGCTTCACACCGGAGTACCTTTCGATGGTGCCACATCGTACCGGACGGACTACACGCCAAAGCGAGCAGAGCGCTGTCCAGCCGCCCTGTTGAACACGGAATTAAGCCCATACGTGTATGCACATAAGGTGAGCAAGTAGAGAGATTCTTCACCATTACGCAATGCCATTTGGTCTTTACCACCCCCCTAAACAAGTCTGAAGTGTTATGGAACATGCAACTCGTTTCATGATGACCGAGAGACGACCGATTTATCTTGCATGCTACTAAGTTTGCGACGGAAGTCACTTGTGGTACTAGTAAAAAGCCGAATTCCATCCCACATCGAGCACACAGTATGTGTATTCCTTGGACGGCGATGATTAGATGACAATCAGGTAATACATTTCACGGACTGCAAGCTTGATAGTAAGAGGCTATGGATGTACCAAGAGTTCAGGTTCAATATAACCCTTAGGGTAAATTGTTGGCATTTCACTGTGACTAAGCTATATAGGTTGAAAATGACAGTCACTTGGTCATTTAGCTTTTCGAAACATAGCTCAAGATACGAATTCTAACAGGAATACATTTTGGAGCAGCTGAACTTGTCGGCTGTCAATCAGTGTGACACAACGTTGCTGAATCCTCCTGCAAATATGACATTTTGTTAGTTAACGTATCTGATCGGAATATAATTACGGATATAAATTATCTGTTTCGCCTTTCACTTTTGACTCGCAGTTTCATTTTTTGCCTGAGAGTTATTTAGAAGTACAGCTCGGTCACTGGGATTGCATTTGAAGTGATGTTCGGCGTAACTCTCTTAGGACACTGCACATTAGGAACGGTTTCCTCTACGTTTGGACACTTTAATAGAAATAGCAGGAGATAGGACTCATTCAGGCATCCACATAGCCAGCAGTTCGATTCCCGTTTCAGGCTACCTCTAGTTGAAGAATCCCACTGACGTTTCTGGTCGGATCCGAAATTGCTGACAGTGAGTGTCAAAGAAAAGTAGTGAGTGTTGTGGAACAGTAACATGTTCAAACTTCTCCGGAGCTTCTACAGTACAGACACTGTCCTCGCTACGCGTCCAGGCAACATTTCTCACCACCGTCAGAAGCGAGTACCCATAAAGTCATCTGTTTGGCTTATACTCGACAACAAGTCGAAAAAATCCTGCCTGATGCTTTTTCCTTCAGTCAAGCTACTAACAGACGAATCGCCTCCATACCAACATCACTGCTTTTCTGTGTTCCATAAAAACTACAAGATGAGCCACTGTGCCATTGCGTCTCGGTCAACGCACGGGCCAATAGTATATATGCATTACCCCCTAGGCAAAAATTGTTCCCGAGAGTGCTCTTCAAAATTATTCCCAACAGACAGATTATCACAGCATGATCGTATGCTATAGAGAATACTAAGCTGTACTATTGCTCGGTGACCTGTTCCTAAATCCGAAAGTGGACGTACGCGGTGAATTCTAATTATTAATATGAATGCACCTAACTCATTCCAGTATAATCTGATCTTAGCCCTCTTCGTTGTCTTGTGGAAATTGATTTTCCTGAATACATGGTTAGCCAAATAGAAATCGGGGGGCTTTTATTTTCTTTGTATAAATTAGATAGAACCTTGTATGTTTTCTTGGCTTCAGGGATGTCATTCGTGTTTCTGCGTTGTGCAATGAGATCATTCTGTACAGTTGCTGTAGTCGGCAGCACTTTTCTCTTAGCGTCTGTCACTTTCTCAGAGCCTTCAAACAATTGGGTAGTGATTCGAGTTACAACGAATTTTTGTTGCAATAACTGAGCAATGATTCTCCGTACCTTATGCCCATCCGCAGGACGAGAATGGACATCTGTTATACTGTAAGACTACAGAGATCAAATGCCCAATAGAAGCCTCTCTGGAACCTTCGCAAATCAATCTGATCACAAACGTGCCTGTCGCAGTGGCCAACTGAACCAGCTGTTGCTCTACACTGTTGCCGCATCATGAGCGCATCTGCTACATCTATTCTATTCAAACTCTGCGATTCTTACAACAGTGGAGCCATTACTTTATCCTTCTAGAGAGTCAAATTTCCTATTTTATTGCGTAGTTAATAAACTATCGTTTAATAGATGTTTCCACCTTTTGTAGACAAATTATTAGACATTTTTGCGCCATGATATTTCCGAGCCTCCAGATTGTCTCCTTCGTGTTTGTCGTCGCAACCCACGCGCATATATGAACTGGATTCGGTTCTGTCCGAATCCACCTATCTCCAATTCTATTTACCCACACCGCAGATATTTCTCACTACTACGTTACATTTCGTGTTTTATAGCTAGAAATATGACGATGTTCACGTAATAAAGCCACATGTTTTGTTTTTGCTCTGACAATTGGCCTGCTTGATCTATTAAGATTGCAATCACTTGGAAACTATTACTAATGCTTGAGCAACTGTTCAATTGTTAACTTTCCATCTACTGTCTTCAGACACCGTTCCAGCCAGCAGCGTTTTAAATAAATAAATAAATAAATGTTTATACTCTCGGTGTTGAACAAGACACGCCAACAAGACATGGAAACCGTCGACCGTTGCGAAGAGCCAAATATGCCGCGTGAATAGCTATTCCCCTCAAACACATGTCACCGACAATTTTGGCTGGACTGAGTAGTTGAATATCATGATGTGTAGTCTGACAAATAACCTGAATGGTAATCAATGATGTAATTGGACAAGGTCATCCACACACACCCGTGATGTGCGTGCTCCTGATTCATTTGGATTATTCTTCTCTATCCTCTCTCCATCTTAGCGCAACGTTGTCATGGTAAGCTCATTCAAAGCGAATTTACCAGCCCTACACAGTGTTCTATCATACGTGAAATTGTCTTCTAGGATTAAAGCCCGTGCCATCGCTAACCGTTTACAATGGCATCCGTGAGCAAGCGGCGAACTCAATCACATTGAGCCGATTGCCTTTCTGTGTGACACCATTCGATACAGAATTCTCAAAGCATTCCGAAAAGCCTACGCTTATTCCGATCCGGCGTTTCTCAAGGCAGGTGTGAAAGAATTTGTGATCTCTCAATCTGTGTTAAACCTCCTGTTCAGATTCAGTTAGCTGGTTCTGGTCACTCGCCAGTCCTCGTGGCCTTGTCAGACAGTGCGCCTACATAATCCATCACACGGACCGCTCGACCACGCCGACCGCCTAGTTGATCTTGCAACTACCACGCTCGCCTGACCGGTGTGCGCCGCTCTCAAAGCTGGAAAAGTACAGAACGCCAACCAACCCACTGGGTCAGATAACGACACCACGTTGAATGGCAGAAATCCGAATCAGAAAAGGCTCCAAGCGAAAGACATTTGCGGGTTAGGAGAATGTCAGTGATTAGTTAAATTATGGCTGGCTTGCTCACACTGTTTGCAATGGTACCATCCGAAATGTGCAAATGTGTCCAAACAAAAAGTAAGGGAACGAACTGGCTCCCAACATGCACTTTGGCTCTGTACTGCATGTTCCACCATCTCATTCGTTAACTACTTGCTTATCCTAGTTCAGAAGTGCGACCGGTTAACCGCAGAAACAGAGCAGAGGATAAATGATAAGATTACTTCAGTGGAAGCGAGTATGCACCACGGAAGCGTAGCGACTTCTAAGCAACAGAATGCGGCACAATCCGCTTCCCCTGAACCGCACTCATCCACGTCCCCATCTCCGTTGGTTTCTTCATATTAGGTAGAACGCCGGGCGAAAACTGACCGTACCTACGAGAGTTGAACAGCGCTCATGACATGGAAAACCAGGCGCCACTCGAAACGTCTGGTTAAGCAACTTCCAGTAGATCTGACATCTAGCAGTAACAAGGATGAAGCATCAGAACACCAACCCTCGGAATCTATAGCTCAAATGTCGCTTGTTGAGACAAAGCTCCGGAATATCAGTTACGTATGCAGAGATTGCTGCAAAGGTCCGCCGGGAGGCCGCCGTTGCGGTCTCTTCTGTTGTAAACACCACTAAGGCGAATAGAAGGACAAACAACAGTCAATCAACACTTGTCAGCAGGTCAGCACAAATGATTACCCTACCTTGTAGATCAACGAAAAAGGATCCAACAATAGTACCCGAGCCGTTTTAAGTTCAAATGCCCCTAAATCTACCGCCATCATGTTGCTGGGTTAGTTATCGGACGATCAAGACCAATGGAATTCATTGTGCATGCAGATGTGTATCAAAGCCAAGCCCATAAAATTATTACGAATTACTCGTCATCCGAACTCGCCACACTATGGAGAACCCATACTTATTCGAGTAACAATAGAATCCTTCACCGGCGTAGAAAACGTTTTGCTCTCTGCAAGCGTGCTAAAACACGAGTCCTGTGGGATACGCATCTATTCTGATGTCCTTTGGAGAGCGACAAACAAAAAGAAACACGGAAGAGGGATATAGCAAGCAAAGCCGCCTGAACACAATCTTCATAGATGGCGTGCAAGCACATCCTTCTAAAGATGTTCAAGAGACCGGAACGCACGATTTGGAACAGTGGCGGTTCATCTGGGAAACACATTCTGGATAATATTGGGGGCTATCGCTCACCAGGTTACCTCTCACACCAAGTATTAGAGGATGCGGTCATAGAATCCTAAAATGTGTGGTTCAGTCAGAGCAAAAAGCAACGGATGTTTTGGATCGATGGCGGAGAAATCGGGAAAGTTTTCCTTCTGAACTTCCGTAAAAGGTTGCAGAAGCGTTGCAAGTTTCAAATATCAAAGCACTTGACGCATCAAGCGTAGCGACGATAATAAAAAAGCTTAACTTGACTGCTGCTTTCCTTAACTTTGAGGTAGGTCTAAAAGAAGATTAGGATGCGTCTTGGCGGAAGCAAGTTTCAGACAAGGTATTATTATCCTACCAAAAACCGAGTAAATACCGACCTCTTATCGGTCGGCAATCTCCCACCCTTGATCCCTTCCCCCTCCGTGGGCTCCTAGAGACCGAGAAACTAGCCTTGTATATGAATGCTCAGGGACTTTTTAATAAACTGGACGAACTGAAG